AACCCGTTCTCAGTAATCAGTAGTATTATTTGTGATTTGAATTTTGTGAATGGGAGTTTCTCTTTTGCTGTGTTAAGCTTCAGATGCTTTCACTATCGAATTCGCGATCTTGTTGTCACTGTTTTGCTTAAATACATCTACACACCTTTCATTTTTTTAAGACTAAACCAAAAGATGGATTCATTGTTATTCTTAATTAAGAAGCACAACAACAATAAACCAGTAAGAACGAATGACAAACTAGCTTACACACACCACATGCTGTATTATATACCGACTAATAAATTACAGAACGGTTAGCAAACTCTGAGGAATCAAATAAATAAAAGAGAGCCTCTATAGTGTAATGTGAGGTAAAAATAAATAAATAAATAAATAAATAAAAGAGAGCCTCCATAGCGTAATGTGAGGTAAACAGCAAAGATAAGTTTTTCAAAAATGAAAACAAAAAGAAAAGTCTAACAGTGACAGTGCTTGCTCTCTCTCCAAGATGATATATTCCCATTATAATACTTTAAGTTTAAGGAAGGAAGGAATTATCACAAACAGAAAGATTATTAGAAGCCTTTCTTCTTCTCATGATTTCTATATTATATTCATTAATGTATTTTGTAAGAATACAAATAGTTAACAGAATAAACATGTTTAAATTGTATAATGTGCACCAAAGATTTTTTTTCAAGATATTGTTTTTGCTGCTAAATTATACAGTCAGCTAGTTTAATTTCATAGCTTATATATTTTTATTCAAATGTAGTTTTTCTCTGTAATGAGGAAGTGTGTATTTAGTGGATTGCGTTTAACAAAGGGTTTAAAAGAGTTACCATTAGTTCCACAAACACAGTATTGATATTCTGTAGTGGTGTAGAAAAAAAAAAGCGCTGGTGTTGGATTGGTATTGGCCAATTCTTAGAATTTGGAATACTCTCTGTAATCTTAAACTGCAAAATAATATCTAAAAAAAGATTAAAAGATAACATCATAATTATTTACTGAACCCTTAAATTAATCAATTATATAATGAAAGCCATAAAAACAGACAATTAATC